AGAGGCCGGAGTTAAGTGTGAGGAAAAAGCGCTCAGGAAGTGGGCGCGGATGGGGTCTACGGGGCAGGTGAGGGCCCTGCCCTGGCAGAGAGATGAGAGAGATTTAACTCCGGAGAGCAGAGAGAAGAATGAATGGAACAGGCATAAAATAGCAGTGATTGCAAGTGAGGGTAGTAAACAAGCAGGCATTTAAGAAGAATTGTACTGCGTGTGGAAATGAAGGAGAGGGTCTTTGCCAAGAGTTGCTCAGTATTTGGTGTCTTATTTGTATTTCTAAACTCCATCGTTTGTAAGCACAGGCAATCAAAATGGTTTTTCCTAAGGAAATTCTGCAGCAGGAGTGATTCAGATGGTGATGGGACTGAAAGTTTTGTTACTAATTTATTTTATGCAATAGGAATTTGTCATTCAAGAGGCTTTGGAAGAACATGATAAAAATGGTGATGGGTTTGTTAGTTTGGAAGAATTTCTTGGTGACTACAGGCAGGATCCAGGTAAGGAGCCTGGGGGTTGTGTGGGGAAGGGCGGGGGTGACAAACGAAGTAAAGAAGAAAAAACAAGAAGAACATGGTCTGATTTTGACTTGTTCTGCCAACTTCAGTACAATACAAGAACCACGAAGGGACTCGCTGTATCTGAGAAAGCTGTCCTGCTGTAGTGCCATGTGTGGGTTCAAACACATCTTCATTTTCAGACAAATACAATGTTGTTATGAAATCAATGATGGAGGAAGTAAAGGTTAATATTTTTACGTGAAATCTTGTATCTTTGCATGTAGATCTTGACATGGAAATGTAAAATAAACATTGGTGTAGATTGTAGAAGGTGACTTCTGACTGTTTGAAATTGGGAGTTTGTCCATGCAGCCTTTCCTACTGTGAATGCCACTTTAAAATTGCATGTGGCATTACTCTGTAAGAACACATAGAATGCTTCATGTAGTCATATGATAAACATAAAAACATCACTCAGATAAAATTTGGGGAAACTAGGTATCAGAACAAGTAGCAGCAGTGAACACAATTACTAGTTTGTGATGTACTGTGCCACAGTGTAAAAACCCAGAGTTGTTTATTCCTGTGTGGCACTTTTAAAAATTATTATGTAGTTTGTACTTTAGCACTTTTTGTTAAGTATTTCTGTTTCCTATACCATTTTTTATCTCTCTCTGTCTATTTTATGCCTACTAATTATGCTTCTTCTTCCCTGTACCTTTTCCTCCCTATTCCACCCTCCCCCTTCGCCACTGAAACTTCTCCACATGATCTCCATTTCTCTGATTCTGTTCCTGTTCTAGTTGTTTGCTTAGTTTTTTCTTTCACTGTTTTTCTTTTTTTAGGTTCATTTGTTCGTAGTTGTGAGTGTGTTGTCATTTTACTGTTCATAGTTTTTGATCTTCTTCAATATCTTAGATAAGTCCCTTTAACATTTCATATAATAAAGACTTGGTGATGATGAACTTTAACTTGACCTTATCTGGGAAGCACTTTACTTATCTTTCCATTCTAATTGATAGCTTTGCTGGATAGAGCAATCTTGGGTGTAGGTCCCTGCCTTTCATGACTTGGAATACTCCTTTCCAGCCCCTTCTTGCCTGCAAGATCTCTTTTGAGAAATCAGCTGACTGTCTGATGGAAACTCCTTTGTAGGTAACTGTCTTCGTTTCTCTTGCTGCTTCTAAGATTCTCTCCTTATTTTTAATCTTGGGTAATGTAATTATGATGTGCCTTGGTGTGTTCCTTCTTGGGTCCAACTTCTTTGGGACTCTCTGAGTTTTCTGGACTTCCTGGAAGTCTATTTCCTTTGCCAGATTAGGGAAGTTCTCCTTCATTATTTGTTCAAATAAGTTTTCAATTTGTTGCTCGTCCTCTTCTCCTTCTGGTACCCCTATAATTCGGATGTTGGAACGTTTAAAGGTGTCCTGGAGGTTCCTAAGCCTCTCCTCATTTTTGTGAATTCTTGTTTCTGCATTCTTTTGTTTGGTTGTTTCTTTCTTCCTTCTGGCTCACTCCATTGATTTGAGTCCCAATTTCCTTCCCATCACTATTGGTTCCCTGTACATTTTCTTTTATTTCACTTAGCGTAGCCTTCATTTTTTCATCTAATTTGCAACTATACTCAACCATTTCTGTGAGCATCCTGATTACCAGTGTTTTGAACTATGCATCTGATAAGTTGGCAACCTCTTTGTTGCTTAGTTGTATTTTTTCTGAAGCTTTGATCTGTTCTTTCATTTGGGCCATTTTCTCAGCACCTGCTACATATGACGGGCAGAGCCTTTGGTGTTCACAAGGGCGGGAAACCCACGTGGCTGGGTTGTGGTGCTATATGTGAGGAAGGGATCTGAGAGGGAACAATGGCACTTGCTCTGCTCTCTGCTGGATTTCATTCACTTCCCCCTGGTACCCACAAGCAAATTGGGCCCTTCTGGTGCTGATTCCCAGGTGGGTGGGTTTGTGTACATTCTAACACCCTGTGAGTCTCTCCAATGAACTCTCCTGTGAGGCTGGGAGTTTTTTCAACTGCCTCAACCCCCACAGATGTTTGCAATCAGGGGTTTGAGGCTTTATTTCCTGGTGCTGGGACCCTGAGTTGTGTAGTCTGTCCCGCTTCCCAGTTTCGCCTGGTTTTTCTGCGCATGAATGTGGGACCCCCAGTCCTCCAGCTGCCACCTTGCTGTGACCCCTCTCTGCCTGGCCACCCGATTCCACCCTTCCTACTGATCTGGATGAATGTTTCTTCTTTGACTCCTTGGTTGTTGGACTTCACTACAGTTCGATTTTCTATCGGTTCTGGTTGTTTTTTGTTTCTAAATTGTTGTTGTCCTTATTTTGGTTGTGCGAGGAGGCACATTGTGTCTGCCTATGCCTCCATCTTGGCCGGAAGCTAGTTTTGTTTTTTATGATAGTGCTCTGGAAGCACTTTTGTATGTGTTTTGCTGCACACATTTATCATTCATCTATTGCTGGGAACACACTGTCCCCAAATGAGCGGCTTAGAGACAATAACCATCAGTTTGTTTGTACTTCTGCCATTGCTGTCAGGCTCCGGGAGCTTCTGCCAGGCTCACCCGGGGCCCCTCACATGTTGCAATCACCTGGGTGGGGGCTGGCTGGGCCGAGGTGGCGTCACTCACACGCTGGCACTCAGGGGGCTATTGGCTGGAACTCCGTGTGTCCCTCCCTTACATGCCAGCTGGGTTCTGAGGAAGTGAGTTGCAGGGATTCTTCACTGGCTGTGAGTCACTGTCATTTTACCCCAGTCTCCCTCTTCTATCTCGAGTGATTTTCCTGTTGATTAAAAAGGAAGTAACGTTTGAGCTGAGGTTTGAAGGAGGCTGAGTAATTACAGATCAGGGAGGCCTGCTGGTAAGAAGCACACATGGTGCTGAGAGGAGGAAGAATAGAAACTGGGGCATTTCAGAAAGAGCCAGACTCCAGCGTGGTTGGAGTGTGACAGGGACCAGAGTCACGGGGTGACACTGGTCAGGGCCAGGAGGAGGTGGGCCCTCGGTGAGCCAAAGGCAGCAGCATTCACTGCGTGTCACCTTCCCTTTGTTTGGCCCTTGGAAAGTAGATTCCAACGCTTAGTGCTTGGGGCCTAACAAGCTCATTAGGACTTTAATAAAACAATCATATGTAGGACCACAGAAGAATTAAAATGACAGAAACAGGAGACGCACACATAGATATCAGTACGAGATTGGAGAAGAAAGAAACAGATGGAGAAAGAGAAACAGACTTGTTGGGAACATGAACACATACAGTGTCCTTGGATGGTGGCATTTTTACAGAAAATCTCATAGGAACACGTAAATACAGTTGCAATGAGCTCAGATGTAGCTATCAGAGCAATGCATTTGTAAGAAGCAGAAAGAACAGACTGGACTGTTAACCACAGTGCCTTTGACCTTTGAAGAGGAGTGTGGTTTTGAGGACGGCGGGGTTGTGAAGTTCACATAGAGGTGACAGTGAGGGACCCAAGGACTCACAGAAATGTCAGTGCTGGAGTGCCCTTCTCTTCTTACTCACGGAAGCATCTCAAGCAATCCCTGCTTTGGAGGCTCTTCGTCCAGGAATTAAGTAACCGACACGGAGACCAGATGAAAAACCCAGATGGACGAGTCTCAGCCGAGGAAGTTCTGGTGTGAACTTTGTTTTCGAGTATTTGTGAGCAAAAATGCAGTACCCTGGTCATCCTCTATCTCATCTCTATCTAACCAGAGGGAAGGAGGTGGTGTGGCATTCTTGCAACTGTTCTCAAAGTCCAAGTGAGGAGGATGAGCATTCTGACATCCGCCGGAGAAGTGGAGACTGCAACTGGAAAGGGAGAGCTGGATTGACTTTTTGTATTATAATACTTTTTTTCTGATTTACTCTATTGTAACAGCCACATGTGCTTATTTTTAAGAGGTACAGCAGAAAGGAGAAAATAAAAACTCCATAATCCTATTACCCAGAGCAAGAACATTTTGGTATATTTCCTGCCAGTCTTTTTGATGCACACCCAGATCGACATGCAGGGCTAAGTGCCGAGGCCACCATCGTGAACAAGGCAGACGCAGCCTTTCCTTAGGGAACCATCCTCGTGGGGCCAACAGACATCGCGCAGCTTCTGTAACTGCACTGTGATCAGCACTGTGCAGTCAGCACGGTGGTAGCCGCGTACTTGATTGCTTAGTATATGCAATGCAGTACACCAACCGCTTCACACATGGTTAGGTGTTCCGTCTACACCGTCTTAGTTACTCTTCACAGTGACCTATGAAGTGGCCTACTGCTGTGACAGCCCTCACACACATCACAGCAAAGAAACAAACTCTGAGAAGTGAGATGATCTGACCCAGGCGGCATGACTCAGGACCACCCTCAGATGTGCCTGTACGCAGACTCTCTTCATGGCCGCCAGATTGGCTGTAGAACACATGATGTTTGCTCTCTTCTTCCTTTGCTAGGTCTGATCACCGCTGGGGCGCAGAGATGCTAAGCTATTCCCATATGATGGATGACAGGGAGCTGAGGACCAATGGACACTCACTGTTAAAGGCAGTGTGGCTAGGGAGGCTCAGGCTGACCTGGCTCCTCCTGGAAGGGGGGGGCTTATGTCAACGAGAGCAACGACAAAGGTGAAAGGCCCTCATGGCAGTGTATGTCACCAAACGTGCGGACCAGCAAAGCGCTGGCAAGTCCAAGATGGGAAGTACCCGCTGGACCACAGAACAAGTCTGGCAGGACTGCTCTCATCCACGTGTGTGTTAGGAGACCTGGGGGCGAAGTGGTCTCCTTGCTGCCAGAGAACAGAGCAGACCCCAGCCTCGAGGACCGCACTGGGCCTCCGCTGTGGTTTCTGTGATCTGTGCTGACGGCGAGGACGCGTCGAGACATCTCACTGATGCCTGCAAAGCCGAAGGGAAGGAGGTGATTATTGTAAGATTGGACAAATCGTTCTCAGGCACCAAAACCACCAAATGGTATCTTAACGCCCCTCCTTCACCCATAGTGGAAGGCGGACAGTCACTCTCAGACACAAAACTGATGTCTCCAGACCTGGGCTCCCTACCCTGCGGGAAGGAAGATGACTTCACGCAGAGCATCCAAGTGTTTATGACACCTCCAAGGACCCCAGTGAGCCTGCATCACCTGCCAGGAACATCAGGAACCTGAAAAGGGCCCGCCTGCTCCAACTGAAGAGGCTGCAGTCTGAACCCTGGGGCCTGGTCGTGCCCTTCATGCAGGCAGAACAAAACATGTGGTGCCAGCACAGACACCAAGGTCAGAGAGAGCATTAGTGACTTGTCCTTCCCCAAGAGGTGGTCCCTTTCCAGAACCAGCAGTATTGACAGCAAAGACCCCATTCCCTTCCCCACAGGCACAGAGCAGGTTCGGAAGATTCCAGCCTCTCTGGCACCGGAATCATGGAGGGCAGCCTACGAGAAAGGTCAGGCGTCCCACCTGTGTCTGGCCAGGAGAGGAACTCTCCCTGTTGACCAAGAGAAGAGCACTCTAGGTCCACTGGGATCCTCTGCTCTCAAAGACGCAGTGTCCCTTAAACAGCTGAAAAGTGACCTCTGTGATTTAGATTTATAGCCGGGGGCTGGCCTGCCCAATGCCACTTCCCTGGAATTAGGCAAAGAACCCTAGATAGAAAGAAGCTCCACAGCTCCCACCAACTTCTCCTCCACGGCTCTCGGGAACCCCTGGGTGCCCTGGCCAGCACATCCCCCAGGTCAGCCCGCCACAGGCCGCCACATCTTCTAGAATGATGAGGTTCTAGAACTCTGCTTCTAGACCAAACTTCTCACGCCAGGCCTGGCTTCCTTCCTCCTCTAAATGTAAACCTGAACCCACCTACCTTGGATTTTAGATCTAGCAGCAAACCGCCTTCTCCATTTGCTGGTGGCTTCAAGTCCATGGTTCCTGTTGCTCCAAGTTCACCGAAGAGAGTTGATCTGAGAAGGAAAAATCAACTCCTTGGGAGGCATTCTGTGAGACTCAAGCAGATGAAGCAGCTGTCTGACTTGGAAGAGGTCATGACCTAGGAGATCTTAAGACAAAAATGAAAACAGAGACCCAAGTCTGTGTAACTTATAAAGGGCACCCTAATTTAGACCCACGCCGCCAGGCAGACCCCCTGCGTCTCGATCCTCCACGCCAGTGCACGGCTGCCTCGCATCACACGCAGACAGGATGTGGGTCTTCTTCTGAAATCATCTCTGTGTTTCACAGGCCTACCTGAGATGAGCTCAGGATATTTCAGTTTTGGAGATGAAATGACCTCAAAAAATTCTCCAAGGGAAGAAACATTTGGAATTCCAAAGTCACACAGCAAGTCCGATGGTCTAAGTTGTTGACACCTGTCATTTTCTCTCAGACAGACAAGAACGCCAGTCATAAGAGGGCATTTGAAACGCGTCCTTTGTAACAACCCTGTAAAGTGCCTACGAAGAAAATGAGTGGAGGCTGCGAGATTTGGGTTTGCATCTCAGTTTCATCACTGACCGGCTGCATGAGCTTGAGGAAGCAGCTTGTCTCCGAGCCTCCACTCCCACACCCACAAAACGGGCCCAGTTCTGCTCATCTTTGCACGGCTGCGGTGAGAACTAAATGAGACAGTGTGTGTAAGTGCCTGCTGCTGTGACTGGCTGGGGCAACCGCAGCTGGACACGCAGTGGTGCATTTTAACTGCCTTCTTCAGACCCTGAAGCTGCCAGTCCCAAATAATACATAATGTCCCACACAGAGGGAGGTCTAGCCAAACCATCCAAGCGTCCCCACAAAAACTGAGCCCTAAACTCATCTGTAAAGCGATATAAATTCTGCCACTGAAGCTCTCCATACCACATCGTTTCTACAAGGACATTCACTGGGAATGTCTCTGAATATTCCAAACAAAAGTGCTAGTGATGGTTATAAATAACACAATGATTTTTAAACAATTCTTTCAGGGCAGGCACATACTCAGCCTCAGCACTGCTGACAGTTTAGTCTGGATCATGCTTTGTCATGGCTGAGGGCTGTCCTGTGTACTGTAGGTTCTTTAGCAGCATCTCTGGACTCCACCCGGTAGGTGCCAGCAGCACTGTCCCCTCATCGTGGCAACAAAAATGTCTCTAAACGCGGCTAGACACACCTCAGGGTGCAACACCCCCTCAGTCAACCACCGCTGCCAATTAGAGGTGGAAGTACGCCAAGAACACCGGGGCTACACGGATGTGTGTGTCTGGCTGGCTGGCGAGGCTCACCCACCAAGTGGAAGGCAACTCAAGTTGCGCTTTAGTGAGATGACTGATCCGCACACCACTGAGCCCTTAGGACCCTGGGCCAGCACAGAAACATGAGCAGGGAAAGCTTCGCGTACTTCTCAGGGAGGGAAGACAAGCGCAGAAGCCAGGGCAACCCTAGGGCTCACGAACCTGGTTTCGTGCAAACAGTCCGCAGGCTCCTCAGGGCCACCTAGTCTTTCACGTTCTCACCGCATGGGCGTGGTTACAGCCAAGGAAGCCCCCCCACCCCCCCAGTGCAGTAAAGCGAGAGCCGCGCACAACCGATGTTCTCAGCAGTTCATTAAACACTCACTCACACACACTCACTCTGCATCTTCTAAGTACTTTCCCAACTATTGTGAGTGCCAGTCAAACCTAGCCTCTGCTAGTGGCATCTCACTGTGGGGACAGCACAAAACCGCGGAGAATTTTTCTGAGCCTCTAGCTCGGATTTGGAAGCCTCATTTGTCCGATGTGGTGGATGTGGTACGTTCATAGAAATCAGCTCAGGGAAAACACTGAACATGGTGAGTGCCAACTCGGAACAGCCTGCCAGTGCAGAAATGCATCTGCGCCTGGTTTCATCACCTGCCGCCATGTTGGCCGAACCACACGGACCCGAACCAGCACGGCCACCACGACACTGTGTCATGTTCGCAGGTAAGTTGGTGTTTTGGTCCCTGTTGGCAAACCTCACAAGAAGGCTTTTAAAAAGCATATTTTAGACTCCAACATGCTTTCTAAATCAGAGATTAGCTTTTATTTTTGGATTCCTAGAATCACTACAGAAGGTTACTGCAAACTATAGTTTCAGTAATAGAGGGATTATTACTTAAGACTCTGGTACATTTATCAAAATATAGAATCTGAGTCTGAAGTTTAAAGTCTGGAACTTTGGTTTAATTTCTAGATATCCCAAAGCCCCCTTTTGCTGGTTTGTTTAAATCCATTGCTGATCCTCTTCGTGTTTCAAGTACACGGTACTCTGCGAAGCGCTGGCTGTGTCCGACCTCCTCTGGGAGTGCAGGCTCCTCCCAAGTACGTGCCTTGCTGGAATGGGTGATATCCCAGGCTCCAGCGGATGCCTGCTCAGAGACGCATCGCAGTCCCTGTGATAGAACTACTTAGATGTCTACTATGTCAGTAGAAGATATATTACAATCCTTCACTAGTTATTTCCCATTTTCCTTAGTAAAATCTGAATTATGAAAGTTACCTTTCCCTTAAGATGGGATTGACGTGACTGCCCAGTAACTACAACCTTAGCAAACACCCAATATTTTATGCACACCAAATTAAAAAATTAATTTTAAATTGCACACGTATTACAGTTTCTCTCTTGTATTTTTTTTTCTGAAGGTGAAAAATGAACCCTGGCTGGTGTGGCTCAGTGGATTGAGTGCTGGCCTGTGAACCAAGGGGTCACTGGTTTGATTCCTAGTCAGGGCACATGCCTGGGTTGTGAGCCAGGTCTTCAGTTGGGGGCATGCAAGGGGCAGCCACACATTGATGTTCCTCTCCCTCTCTTTCTCCCTCCCTTCCCCTCTCTCTAAAAATAAATAAATAAAAGGGCAAAGAATGAGAAGGAGCATTGCTGCTATGAGGGTGAGTTGCTCTGCTCTGCTCTGCTCTTGCTGCCAGGGTTTCCCCAGGCTCTGCCACCTGCTACTGGCAGGGACTTAAAGATTGCTGGATGTGCCCTGGCTGGCGTAGCTCAGTGGATCGAGTGCAGACTGTGAACCAAAGAGTTGCAGGTTCGATTCCCAGTCAGGGCACATGCCTGGGTTGCAGGCCATAACCCCCAGCAACTGCACATTGATGTTTCTCTCTCTCTCTTTCTCCCTCCCTTCCTTCTCTAAAAAATAAATAAATAAAATATTTTAAAAAAAGATCGCTGGATGTCTCTCCTTGGGCCCTGTATCTGTGTCAGTACTAGCTGAGTTCTCTGGGCTCTTACTCAAGGGGAGAGCAGTAAGTATCCAGTGAACTAACTGGAAGACCCTTCATGTCCCTTACATTGCAGGGTTCTGTGATTCAACTTTCACCCAGACTCTCTGATTCTCTATACGGTTCCAAACCTTACCCACAGTTCTTTCCTAAACGCTTGAAAAAAATGATGTCAACAGAAAGAAAAGGGGACTCTTTCAGCATGTCTTTCCCCCACTTCCATCTCCAGGGAAGGGTAGCCAACCCTGTTTCCAAATTCTTTGAAGAGAGATTATGAGGACCCTCTGGAGAAGGAGAAAATGGAGGTGGAGGGGGAGAGGTGACTAGGGGAAAGGCCAAAGTGGCTCACCTTCAGGGAGGGAGTGGGTCCCCAAGGTGGATAAAAGGCTTAGAAGTTTCCGGTCCCTTGAGTGGAAGCTGTTCCTTACAGAGCAAAACCTTTGGAGGGAGTGGCTGTGTGGCGCTCTGTGGGAGGCTGGGCCAGGGTCAAGCTTGGCAGAAAGGCGTCTGAGCCGCCTGTCTGGGAGACACCCTGCAGCGCGGACAGTGGACACATGGGCAAGGTGACTGGGCGGCTCTGAGGTCCGAAGGGCTCCCTGAGCCTGAGCGCTGTGCGCTCTTTCAGAGCTTCGCAGAACCACTGGGGAGAGCTTACCAGGGCTGAGATGGACTTTCAACTTTAATTTGATTTAGAAAAGTGAAAAAATGGGATCTTTTTTACCTCCAAAGGAAATGGAGTGAAAAATACAGTTTTCGGTGCGGTGTTGTCTGAGTTGGCATCTACGAACGGCGTGAGCGCGGCAGGAAGTCGGCCCTGGCGGCACCTGCGAACAGAGGAGCGTTTTACTGCCCTGATGGTATCCTAGGAGGATGCGGTGGTCCTCACGGAGCGCCCCAGTACAAGGTGGGACTGTGGTCCGCTCCCAGCAGCTGCCGGTGGAGGTGGGCCTTTCGCAGTCACCGAGTTAAACCTACCACTGCTCCCCAGAGAAAAGGGTGGTTGTTGTAAGGGGCGGGGGCTGGAAGAAGAACAGAGGTGATGCGGGAGCCGCAGCACAGGTCAAAAGACAGGCCTGCCTGGAGTCAACCTACGCGCTCCCGCTCCGGGCCCTGCATCCCCGAAGCGAGTGTGGGCAGGCACCAGGGGCCGTGGGGTGTCAGGGCCCCCGCGTGGGGGACGAAGGATGCGTACTCGCACCCCGCCTCCAAGAAGCCCAGTGCCGCTCGCACCACGTAGGTCCCAGCGCAGTGCTGGGTGTTGCCTCTGAGGACCAGCCATGGGCAGCGCAGCCCAGCACTCCGCCTCGTGGCTGCGGCTGCTGCTGCTCCTGCTGCTCCTGCTGCTCCTGCTGCTCCTGCTGCGGGCGGAGCGGCTGCGGGGTGCCGAGCTCACCTTCGAGCTGTGGGACAGCACCAAGCAGTGCTTCCATGAGGATCTGGAGCAGGGCGTCAGGTTCTCCCTGCACTACCAGGTGGGGTCTCACCCCGCCCCTTCCAGTGCCGCCCAGCATCTGGGGGGTCCCCTGGATGGGGATGCTTGGGCGGGCCCAGCATCCCCATCCCTGGGAGCTGGCCAGGATGAATCCCGAAGGCCCGAGGACTCTTAAGGCATGCCACCTCCAGTTGGCTGGACACAGGTTCTGTCCCGAGCATCTTGGACCTCTGTCCCCATGTGTACTGGAAATGTCAGCGAGAGGAAGTGGGTTGTGGTTTGATTTTCTCTTTCTTCCGGCTTTTAAAGTCGTTGCTGCAGCGAGCGCAGAACCAATGAGATCGGTGAGGTCTCCTCTAACCGCCCTCTTCAAGTGGCTATGGAGAGCAATCAGAGC